ATCAGCCTAAAATGGCCCGATGGGGGATGTCTTCTATAGTGGTGCTGTTACCTGAGGAATTAAGTACTCGGTATAATGGTTGCCCATTGAAGATGATAGGACACAGACCCGAGATTAGTCTCATAAGAGGCAATGGGTGGTCTGGCCGTAAACACTTGCAAAGGAAAAGGATAAAACTAGGGTTGGTCACCCTATCTCGGTGGTTAGTCACTGAGACCCTCATTAAGCCTGAGTATGGTGAGGTCGCAGGTTCGATTCCCATGACCACGGAAATAAAAAGAATTTTACTGCGGACGCTACAACCAATAGCGTGAAGGTACAGGGATTAGTGTAGTTGGACTGCATCATGGTGAATTAGTGTGTACGGTTAGGCCGCACATTTCAACTAAGGGTCATGGTGTCCTTCTAACGTTCCCTATGAGGCCATTGGCATGTGCGCAGTCCTGTCCTTGAGGTCACTACTATACCTTGGGGGGGACTTCCTGTCCGGGTGGTCACTCTACGATACCGCTTGGGGTCAGTAATGGCTAGATGGTCGTCCTAGATGGTAAAGCTGAGGGTGCAATGTCTTAGTGGTAGTTAGACCTTCTGTTAGGTCTTAGACCAACCAAGGTGTTCGTGCACAGAACAGGTAGCATGGCTATGGGGTTCGATTCCCTACTCCTTGGGTCCTGGTTGGTGATCCCTGGTGGTTGATACCCACCATAAGGGGTGATCCTGGACAGATGCCTGCTACTTCCTGTCTGAGTGGTCACTACAAAGTATACCACTTGGGGTAAACAACTGTACTATCGGTGCTAGGTAATCGCGGGCTGTAGTGGCCTTTGAGTGAGACTTAGTACCTAAAATGGTGGTATGGAAGGGTACTAGATGGTTGATGTTACCTGTCGAAAGTCCTCCATGAAAGTAGATGCTCTCTAAAGGTCGTTAAATAAATTGAGTATCAGTATCATGCAATGGGTATAGGATGAGTAGGCGGCGTGTACCTAGCTTCAGATCAGCCTAAAATGGCCCGATGGGGGATGTCTTCTATAGTGGTGCTGTTACTTGAGGAATTAAGTACTCGGTATAATGGTTGCCCAGTGAAGATGATAGAACACAGACCCGAGATTAGTCTTATAAGAGGCAATAGGTGGTCTGGCCTTAAACACTAGCAAAAGGAAAAGGATAAAACTACCACCATTCGATTCGCCTCAGTAAGACGATTCTAACAAACTATGATACATCTTTGTACAATTATTAGATGCCAAGTTATTTAATATATTCTTTATATAACTGTGATTATAAACAGTTCTTTTTAATATAAGATTTTTGAAGATAGGTGTGATAGTGACTATAGATAGATTGTGACTATATAGGATAGATTTTAATAATAAAGTATTTTGAACATTTAACTGGTGTGACTATATAGTAGAATGTGACTATAACGGGAGTGACTATAGAGGGAGTTGACTGTATTTTAATAAAAAAACGTTCGCGAAATGTTTTTTATTCAATTTTTAATCATTTTAATAAAAAACGTTGCAAAACATTTTTTATTTCAATTTTTAACGAAAAAAACCCATTTTGCAACGGGTTTTAATATTTTAATAAAAAAACATTGCGAAACATTTTTTTTATTTCAATTTAATGAAAAAAAACCATTTCGCAACAGTTTTTTAATTATTTTAATAAAAAATGTTGCAAACCGTTTTTTATTCCAATTTAACGAATAAAAAAAACTGTTTTGCAATGGGTTTTAATATTTTAATAAAAAATGTTTGTGAACCGTTTTTTATTCAATTTAATGAAAAAAAACTGTTTCACAACGGTTTTTTAATTATTTTAATAAAAAATGTTGCGAAACATTTTTTATTTCAATTTTTAACAAAAAAACCATTTTGCAACGGGTTTTTAATTATTTTAATAAAAAACATTGCAAAACATTTTTTATTTCAATTTTTAATAAAAAAAAACCTGTTTCACAACGGTTTTTTAATATTTTAATAAAAAAATGTTCACGAAACGTTTTTTATTTCAATTTAATGAAAAAATCGTTTCACAACAGTTTTTAATATTTTAATAAAAAAACGTTTGTGAAATATTTTTTTATTCTATTTAATGAAAAAAAACTATTTTGCAACAGTTTTTTAATTATTTTAATAAAAAACGTTGCAAAACATTTTTTTATTTCAATTTAATGAAAAAAAAACTGTTTTACAATGGTTTTTAATCATTTTAATAAAAAAATGTTGTGAAACATTTTTTATTTCAATTTAATGAAAAAAAACCATTTCGCAACGGTTTTTTAATATTTTAATAAAAAAACGTTTGCAAAACGTTTTTTTATTTTAATTTAATGAAAAAAAAACCATTTCGCAACAGTTTTAATCATTTTAATAAAAAAACGTTGCGAAATGTTTTTTAACAATTAACTTAACAATTCACAACATTTTCAACTTAATAACAGAGCATTTTTTCATCTTATTTTATGAAAAAAGGCCTTTTAGATCTGATCTGATCTGGATCTGATCTGGATCTGTTCAAATCTAATCTGATCTGATCCGATTCGATTTGATTCAAATCAGATCAAATTTTTTTGATTTGAATCAGATCACGGATGATAAAATCTATGATTCGATCTGATCTGTCTCAAATCAGATCTGCAGATACAGATCAGATCAGATTTTTTTCAGAACATTAATTGTAAAACTTTCATTTCTAATAATAAGGGTAGTACTAATGGTAAGGTTGCTTGTCTAAACCTCTTCAAAATCCTACGATTAGTTTCGTCAAAATTTTACTATAGATTTATTATAGTTTTAGCAGAGTTTCAGCAGTTTCAGCATTTATATATAATAAGTTTCAGCAGTTTCGCCTTTCTCTAAAGTTTCGCCAGTTTTTTAATATAACTTTAATATAGTTTCAGAAGAATTTTGCTTTTCGGCAAAACACCATCTTGCCTAAACCCCTAGGTTTCGGCAAGCAATCTTAACTAGTGGCATGTCAAGTCATGTGAGATCCAAACATAGATTATTAATAGATGAAAATGATAATTCAAATAAAATAATTTCTTAATATACACTAGTGTGCGAAATACGGATCACGTGACTATAATTTGTCACCCATGTCACACCCCTATAGTTTTCCATTTTTACTATTTATTTTAGGGACAGAGAATTTTTTTAGTAGGAAAAACTTTATTTGTCACATATTATATGTCACGTCTACTAATTTCAGCCAAATTTTATAATTCCAGCCAAAAATTACCATAATTTCCAATTTTGGAAATTAGAATAACGTTACATAACCCAAAAAAGGCAATTTTGTTTCTCTGTAAAAAATAAAAGTTCATTACACAAATTTCCAAAATAGGAAATTTTTTATGCAGATCACTGAAAATGATAATAATCACGTGACCTGTGTTCACACACGTAGTGTACAAATAGAAATAGTCTTCAAATAAAAATAAAAAACAAATTATATTGCAAGAATCCTTTTAGAATTCTGCTGAAATTATGGTAAATCACTAAATCTAATTATTAAAATTCAAAATCTTATAATTACAGCTATTTTCTATATTATTGACCTCTTCTCTGTTATTTTAAAAATTTTTTTAGATACAATTAAATGCAATCAGACGCAGTCAAACATAGTAATTTGGGCTGACTTATAGTGCCGGCCAGAATTATGAGTCATGTGGTTATACAGATTCCAAAAAAGGAAATTTTTGAATTTGCAAAAATCATAAAATATTTTTTTGTAAAACGAATATCGCCCAAAAAGAAATTTAACACAATATTATTTCCTTTTTAGGGGTCGTCTAAAGCTGTGTTCAATCACGTGACTTGTAAAAATTTATTTTTTACAAATAAAACTTTTTCGCCAATACAGTCAACTCTCTTTATAGTCATACATTTGGGACAGTCTATATTTGGTGATTATGAGCAAACAGTCTTATGACTTTATCTTTTATTATAAATTTTTAAACGAAAAGTACAAAACTCAAATCGAACAATATTACAAATAGTATATAGAAAATTAAACATAAAAAATAAAAAGAACTAGCTTCACGATTCATACAAGTAAAGAAATCTAAACAAAATAAAATTAAGTAAAGAAAAACTAAACTATTACAGAAACGCATACTCCAACTTTACCCGAAGGCCAGTGTGAGTCAACTATCCAGCATGTCCTAAAATCCAATCCGTTACCAAAAAGAAATCCTAAGTAGAGGCTGAACTGTTAAGCGGCGCCAAAAATTCAAATGCGAAATCCATGATCCCCTATGGATTATATAAGAGGAAACCCAAAAACCCAGGAATCCAAGGAAGCTGTCGCCAAGGAAGGTGTCGAAATTGCAGGAGAAATTTGCGAGAAAGGATGAGAAGTAGGAGAAGATCCAATAGCGGACGATTTCATTTTATTAGTAATGCCTTGAGCTGATTTCCAATGATGAAAGAAAATGGAACGGCACAACCAGATTTGTACGTAGAGATCAAAATGAAAATCATGTAAAGGTATATCGAAAATAGAACAAATAGTGGATGATGAAAAATATGCTCTAAGAAACACTGGTCAGAATAGTCCATTTCGTCCAGATTTCAAATTGATGAATGTTGGACGAAAGTTGATCTAACTTTGGCCGATCGTTGCCAAAAAAATCGTCAAAATTATTATGGACGATTTGCACAGTTCGCCTGCCACTTGGCAATCACAAATCGGCAAAAATTCGTTATTATCAGCAAAATTCGGAAACAAAACTATTCGTCAAACTTTTAGTTATAAAATGTACACAAATCGATCTCGAAACACATTTACGAAAGATTACCAATTTATTTCTTTTGAAATGCCAGATTTAGTTTATTCATAATAATAATAACCGATTTTATTCAATAATAAATCAAAACAATTAATTATATATTTATTTTAATAAAATTTATTAAATTTATTACCAAAAAGCAGTCAATAATAAGAAATTAATATTTCGAAATAAATCTATCATAAAATGATAAAATTAATCAATCATTATGTTTGGTTTGAATATTATTATCAGTTTGTGACTGCGATTCACGATTTTTAGCCGGAGTATCAGGACCAGAAAAATCCGTATTGACGGGCGTATTTTGAGTTTTGTATGCCCATTCTGGAGCATTTTTAGGGTGTCGTGAGGTGATACAATAGCTTTCGTCATCATAGTTTCTCCCCCTCGTTAATTGCACCGTCTGTAGAGAAAATACGTGAGTATCCAAGACGTTTCGGAGAAAATTGATAAGCTGTAAAGTCATAAAGTCATTAAAACAAATAAAATTAGTTGATGTTTTTAATAAAATACGATAAAAAAAAGATTATTATACCTCATCGGAACGCCAACTAAGGTTATAAACGATAATTTTTCTTTTACCATCCGGTTGTTCTTTATCCGTTTCTAAGTCTTCAGGTGAATGGTAGCGAGTATCTTTCAGAATGTTTAGGACCTCTGTCTTATCATAATCCTTTACTCGATCATCATTACGTTTAAAAAGGGAAATAGCAACCTTGACTCTACGCGATTTTTTCTGAAATATAACGAATGTTTAGTATCAATTTCGAAATGACAGTAAAAAGACAGATTCTACCTCGCTCAATCTGTTGTTTTTATGCAGTCTTCTGTTATCTTTATCAATTACACCTCGCTCAACATATAAAAGTCGTGCTCTACGATGCTTGTGTAAGGCAGCTAACCAATCGTTTATCTGCTTATACAAAGGACTAAATCGAGGCTTCATGGAAGCAATCAATCGTGGTATTAATTGTCGTAAAATGTCCGCGTTCGTCTCATTTGTAAATTTTTCATCGTATCTTAACGTTAATTCAGGAGGCATCGTTTTTAATATTACCTTCATTTCAGTCTATAATAATTTATAAAAGATTCGTAAGAAGGATATTCAAATCGTGTAAAATGCAAAATCTGTCAATCTCTAACGAACTCTAGCATTTTCTTCGTCAGTTTCAGAATCGTCGTCTGATTGATCAATTTGACGTCTCGCGACTTTTCTTTTTTTGCCAGGTCTATTATCATTGTCGTTACTTTCACTTTCCGACGATTCGACATCGGCATCATCTTGGCTCGATATTTGTGATTTGAGATTATTAATCTCGGCTCGAAGAACTTCATTTTCGTGATTGATATACTTATTATGGGAATGTAATTTGATATAATCTTGCTGAAGTTCATTTAATTCGCCTTTAATTTCTTTTAACTCTCTATAGACCTCGCACATTCTGCCTTGTAAATAAGCATGCTCGTCACGGAGCTGACTATGTTCTAAATAACGTAAAATATTTGATAAAAATTCGTTAAATACATTAAAATGTGTCACAGTTCATTACCTCTCTTCAACTTTTCATAATCACTATTATTGTATCTATACGCCAATGATTCTGATGGTTCAACGGAACTCGAAGAAAAATCATATGGTAAAAACTCTCGTGATAAGGAATCCCTGTG